ATGAGAGCGAGTGATGTTCCGCTGACAGCGGTAAGCACTCCGAGCGGCATGCTCTGGGGGTGGCTGTTGATGCCCCAAGAGCTGTCAAATGCACCAGCAACGTTTAATCGTCTTGTGACGCAGTTGTTCGAGCCCCACAGGACGTATGCTCATAAATACTTTGACGACATTTTTGCTCACAGTCGTGCGGAGCACGGGAGGACGGATGAGGAGAACCACATCGTCTATTTAAGAGCGGTGATCGATTGCATGCGCACGAGCAAACTGTACGCCAACGCAGACAAGTGTATCTTTGGTGCAGAAGAGATTCCCTTTTTTATGGTGCTTCATTGGGAAGCGTAGCCTTCGAACGGATCCCGCTAAGGTCAAAGCCATTGTAGACTGGCTGGTTCCAAAGAACCAGAAGGACTTGCGTAAGTGGCCTGGTCTCGCCAACTACTTGCACAAGTATAGCGTAAACTACAAAGAAATGGTCCGCCCAATATCCAATCTCCTTAGAAATTTTGCGGAATGGTGGGAACAGCGAAGACAGCCTCCTGCATGCACCGATACTGGTGCTGCCAGACCCCGATCGTCCTTTCCGCGTCGTCTGTTACGCTTCGGACTTTGCCATTGGCTATGCACCGCTGCAAGCAGACGCCGAGGGGCGAGATCGGGGGATCGCGTTCGAATCTCGACAGCTCAAAGCTGCAGATAAAATTTTCCCAGTTCATGACAAGGAGCTACTTGCGATTAAGTATGCACTTGTCAAGTTCAGGGTTTTCCTGTTCGGCTCCAAACCGTTTGTGATCTACACAGATCATGCGTCATTACGCACTGCGACTCAGTCGCCCCACCTCTCGCAGAGGATAGCTAGATGGCTATCCTTCTTTGCGGAATATGACTTCACTCTCAATTTTGCTCAGATTAAATACGTTTTGGGTTTGTGTCGAAGTGGTGGCAGCGTTGAGCTTATGGTAAGCATGAACGATACGCTACTTGCCGTTTGGCTTCCGGACACAAAAC